AAAGGTACTCCAATAGAAGTCCTGACCTGTATATATATAATAAAAGAGTTTAACACAAACTAGCAAACAATATTCATAATAATATTCTATTAGAAAGAACCAATGAGGTTCCTAAATTTCACTTTTTCTCATTTTCTATCAATTCAATTTAAATTCTAAACAAGAATTGTAAGTTTCAGCACATTTTACATTAGTTCTTGATTTAGATTGAATTTCGAAATCATTTATTTCTAGTTACTTTATGATGGGGGCTAGTTCCAATGATTTTTCGAAATCATTTTCTAGTTCCTTGATTTAGCTAATTCCATATAGGGTTTGAAATGGGGCTAGGTTTCACGGGTTCTTGAGAGTGTGAATTTAGTTTTTGAAATTCAATTAATTCTGGAAAATTGTATAAGATTAATCATAATTGTCTATATGAATTTGATTACCTCATATATGAATGTGTGGATTTAAATCAATTATTGTCTATGAGAAATTGAGTTAAAGTAACTCAGGTCTTATACAAACAATCTGATCTTAGAAATAAGTAATTTTATCAATTTGAGACCTGAAAGATAGATGAATTATCAATCTGGGACCTGAAAGATGAAATATCAGTACAAGACTCGAAAGATGAAAAACTATCGATCTAGGACCTAACATTTCAAGGTTTTGATTTATTTAATTTTTTATTAATTCCACTGCTAGTATTTGGTGAACTTTTCTTCACAAAAGTTTATTAGTTTAATAAAACTAAATATTATTTAAATTTTCTAAAATAAAAATAATAATAAAATTTATGAAAACTTAGGTCCTAAATTGATAGTTTTCAATCATTCGGGTTCTAGATTGATAGTTTTCCATCATTCGGGTCCTATACTGATACATTTCATCTTTTAGGTCCTGAATTGATATTTCGTCTATGTTTCAGGTCCTAGATTGATAAAATTCCTAGAAATAAGTTAGGATTGCGATAATTTTATTTAGTTCTTGTCTATGAGAATTGACTTCATTTCTGTTCAGGAATAATTGAAAATTAATTTACTTAATTCTAATCCCGAAAGAACACCCAAAACCCGAATCATCCATAAATTTTACCAAGTGTTATAAAAATTATATTACCAAAAACTTATTTTGTACTTTTTTTTCAATTTTCTTACGTTTTAAAGTATTTAAGACTTTTACATTATATTTTCGAGCTTTATATTTCTAAATTTCTATATGTTCTTAAAATTTTTCTAATTTATTTCTGAAAGTTATTCAGATTTTTTTTTAACTGATTTTAATACTTAATAGTTGTCATATTTACATTTTTATTATGCATTTTTTATTTTTTATTTTAACTTTGACTTTTTGTTTTCATTCTCTGTATTTACAAACTAAGGAGACGTTTACTTCGCCGCTAAAGTCACAGTTAGGTTAGTAAGACACGTGAAGTAAACACGTAAGTTGCTTAAAACGCTGCTTACTAACCGAAAAAGGTGCTTAAAGTGCCGCTTACTAAGCATACCAGCCCCATGTATTAATTAAGCGGCACTTTAAGCTTTTTTAGTTTCCTAATTTACCCTTACCTTTACCCCTTGCCCTTACCCTATTGCTACCCCACTATCCCGCCCTACCCTACCTTACCCCGACCCCCCCGATCCCACCCCGACCCCCCCGACCCCAACCCCACCCTGACCCCCGACTCCACCCCCACCCTTGACCCAACCATACCCCCACTAGCACTCCTTACCTTTATCCTACCCTGACACTACCCTTTTACCGCTTACCACCTGCACCTACTTCGACCCCACCCCAATCCTGACCCCTCCCCCACCACCTTACCCAACCCCTACCTTACCACCCCATCCCCCCTTACCCCTACCCTCCATCACCTGCCCTACCCCACCCCCACCCTTGCACCCCTTACCTTGACCATACCCTTTTACCCCTACCACCCGCCCCTACCTTGACCTCACCTCGACCCCACCCCCGACACCGACCCCACCAACTCCCATTACCATACCCCGAACCCTACCCTTTTACCCCATATCACCTGCCCCTACCTCAACCCAACCCCTACGAGTAGGGTGGGGGGTTGGTATGGGTGGGAGTAGGGGTGGAGGGTAAGGTCGTGGTAAGGGTAGGGGTAGGGAAGGGGTGGGGTCAAGGGTGTGGAATTGGGGGTAGGGTGAGGGGTGGGGGTACAGGGTGGGTAGGGGTTAGGGATGTGGGTAAGCGACTAAGCGTACGAGGTGAACCCACATATTATATTATATACTTGTGTTAATGAATATTTGTGTGTGTATATATCTATAGGGTTTTTTGGGTATTTTTAATGTTAAACGGTGTTTTAAATCGTTGAAGTAAATATGAGTTTACAACACTGTTTATTTTATGCCCCGCTTATTAACGCGAGTCTTAATAAGCACCGTTTACTAACCCGTGAAGTAAACGTGTCCTAAATGTTTAGTTGTTCCTACTTCACCGTGTTTGTATGAAATTGAGAGTAAAGTATGAGAACCATACGTCCCCATATGTGAAAACTGAAAAAGTATGGATCCTAGTCTTCAAGTGGACTATTAGTTAATGAAAAGAAAATGTTTGTTAGTGAAATAATTAGACATTTTTTATTAAAATAAAGAGATTTTATAAAAATGTGAAAATAATGTGAGAGATTATGGTAGTTTATGTTTGTTAGTAACTATTAATCATATTTTTGTAAATAAGTTTTATTTTGATTTTTTTTTTTAAAATACTTTGAAAAAGAAAGTACATTATTTTGAGTTTTAAGTCTATTTGTGAAAATTTTCTATTCCTTATTAAATTTAGCTATACCCAGTGGATAGTGTCCAGAAAAGGAGTAATATTATTGCCAAAAAGGGGCATTATAAAAATGTGCAGCCCAAATCCTATTAACAATGCACTACGCCTTCCCGCCGCCAACAATCTCAAGTTCTCAAGTCAGGAGTGAAGCATACGCCGCAGCAGCCTAGAAAGGTAGAAGGCGACCGCCGTCCGCCGACCTGGAGTCCGGGACACCGGAGATTCGGCGACGACGACGCAGCGCCCAGAGAGAAGCCAGCAGCCAGTCCCGGACTTCACCCTTTTCCATCTCCATTTATCTATGCAATTTTAAGGTTTTATTTCTAATTATAATTTATAAAACAATGTACTAATTTCTAACTGGTTTGTGATTTGTGTTACTGTGTTCCTAATAAATTGAATGCGTGTAAGTTTATAGTGTTTAAGATTTTTTGTTTTATCCGGTCTGTTTTCATAGACACAGAAAATTTTTGTTTAATGGTTAATGCGGACATGCGTTAAACGGGTAATGACAATCTAATGGATACATAATGAATACTTTGATATCACATCTGGATTATTAATGCTTATTACTCCGTATTATTTATTAAATTTACTGGTTATAATTATTTATTAAAATATTACATATTTTGATGTTATAGTAAATATTAAATTATTATTTTCACTGTTTGATGCACCATATTTGTAGTAGTTTTGTTATAATAAATTTTGTGATCCACTTGAACTTAATTTAGTTACTAAATTTATATTTGAGAAAATTTTCAGTTCAAATCCGGCTCACCCCTTTATAGAGTCCTGGATCCACCCCTGGGTCTGAACTAGTCTGGTCTGACATATGTGCGGTCTATGTGTATTTTATAGCTGTCGAAGTATGGTGTGGTCTATTTTGATTTGTTTAAATCTAATCCGATCATGTCTGAACTGTTTAAGTATGGTGTGTCTGTTTTATAGCCTCTAATAGCCCTACTTCCACCTCCTCAAGTGAGCTCTACTGAGAGAGAGAGGAAGAGCCTATCATCCTATTGTAGCAAGCTTATTGAGCATATAAGCACACCCATCCTATTCCATCTTAGTGCTATCAGTTGGGCCGCCCCAAAAAACAATTACCTTAGCTGTTCCAATCTATGAACGAGGCTTGCGAGGCAGGGAACACTTTACTGGTTTACTCCTCAGTCTGCCCGAACAGCGAATCCATATAGTTCTTATTTACTAAGGAGGTTAGTATTTTGCTTTTTCTAATACACTCTTTGTCAACTTATTTAATATGCTTCATATTTTTAAACATTAATAATCAGAACTCTATTTTTGTGATTCCTAAGTGTAGAAAACCATCAGGTTACTCATAGTCTGTAAGAATTATATTTTAAACATTCATGAAAGTATTGAAAAGTTCTGTTTCTAAAATGTTCGATGGAATTTCTAAAAAATGCAAAAATTAGTTTTGTTGTTAATTTACGTAATATTGAACTTTTACAATAAAAACGATTGTTAACTAATCCTTGTTAATATTAATTTTATATTAGATTGTTATACTAAAAAAATATAATTTTAAACTTAAAAATGGAAAGATGCAGAACAAATTGTCAATTTTGCCGTTTTGGTGGTTGTATGGTTTGGTCATTTTGTAACATGAACTTAAAGCTTAAATTTTATTAAGATGCCCAGTATTCTTTTGTGTGTTAGTACTTTGGTGTATTTGAGTGTGAAAAACAGGTTTGAAAAAATCATTGATAGGGGTTTCAATTTTTAGAGAAATAGGGACAGGGTAAACTTGGTCTATTTTGTCTCTGCAATTCATTCGATCAAACTGTCCAAACAGGAAACCGACCAAACCAACATGTTTCGGTCTGAAAACCGACCTACCAAAGACTCTTGGGTTCGGTCAGCCGTTCTCCATTTCCGAAAACAGACAAATAAAAACCAACCAAAACCGACAAAAAATGACTGAACTATTGCGACGAACACACATAGTATCCACTACATCTATGTCATAAGTCAGTGACAAATATGTGTTGCTAACAACTTATGTTATTCATTTTAAATAACTTGTGCATCATTGTGTCTAAATTTCAACAAAGATGTTTGTGCCTTCTAGCCCTTTTTAACTTATGCGGCAAGATAATGGTAGAAGGTGACATAGTTAATGATCTATAAGATTCTTTTCTACATTCCTTATTATCAATATGAAACTTATGTATACATATGTTACAGGGAAGGGCATGTGCATGTGTTTTGCTGGTGTTCATTTGGTATGTTATTCAAAATGCAAATGTTTTAACATCCTCAAGGAGTTCATAACTTCTTCACACTCTTACCACTGTAAAAGACTACTTAGCTGTTCTGTTAATCATTTGGAGAACTATCGTTCTATTGTTGAATCAAGTAGCTTACAGAACCGGTTCAAGAATTGGCAACATTTAAGAAAGGGAAAACTCACTGCAAGCACTTTCAGCCAGGCTATTGGTTTTTGGCCCCATCGAAGGGTTCAGCTTTGGAAAGAGAAGATTGGTCATATTGAACCATTCTATGGGAACTTTGCCACCTGCTGGAGCAACATCAAGGAGGAAGAAGCTCTTGAGAGTTATAAGCTTATCACTAGAAATTATGACGTATCCATGGTTAGTTTTCAGGTTCGCCAAAGCACTAATCCAGAAGAAGATGACTGGCTTGCAGCTTCCCCTGATGGAGTAATTAATGGATATGGCAATGGTTTGCCTTCCTCGGGGGTTTTGGAAATAAAGTGCCCATACTTCGGTGGTGATATGTCTGTAGCGCGGCCTTTTAATAGAATACCCCTTTATTACATCCCTCAAGCACAAGGTTTAATGGAGATTCTGAATCTAGATTGGATGCACCTATATATCTGGACTACCAAAGGGAGTAGCCTTTTTATTGTGTATCGAGATAAAAAGTATTGGGAAGACATGGAAATAGTACTCTCTGACTTTTGGTGGAATTACGTTCAACCTGCTAAAAAATTGCACGATCTTTCAAACATTACAAATCCCTTGGAGGAACTAAAACCACTAGGACTATTTCCAGGACACAGACACAATTCGTGTGGCAAACTTGTCCGTGAAAGCAGCCGTATTGCCCTTAATGACTCTAAATTGCTCCTACTTGAGATTGATGGTAAAGTGCAAATATGTGATGCTCCCTTTTGATTAGTGAAGTCCTTTGAACTGGATTATTTGATTCAGCAAGTTGATGGAAGACTTTTGGTCTTCTACATATTTGCTGACGATCAAGGGTGACTCTCTTAAACTCAAAGAGATAATCTTCGGTTCTAGTTATGTTTTTATGAACTAGACTGGCTTCTTTTGGATAATCAAGGGAAACACTGAAATTGTCTGGCTTCATAAGAGCCATATTCTTCTCCTTAAATATTTGGGTTTCTGGTAAGATAGAGATAACCATCTTTTGTCACATATTAATGGCAGAAGGAGCTAATTCCTTATTACAACACCAATAGTACTCTCTGACTTTTGGTGGAATTACGTTCAACCTGTTAAAAAATTGTACGATCTTTCAAACATCAGAAATCCCTTGGAGGAACTAAAACCACTAGGACTATTTCCAGGACACAGACACAATTCATGTGGCAAACTTGTCCGTGAAAGCAGCTGTATTGCCCTTAATGACTCTAAATTGCTCCTACTTGAGATTGATGGTAAAGTGCAAATATGTGATGCTCCTTTTTGATTAATGAAGTCCTTTGAACTGGATTATTTGATTCAGCAAGTTGATGGAAGACTTTTGGTCTTCTACATATTTGCTGACGATCAAGGCTGACTCTCTTAAACTCAAAGAGATAACTTCGGTTCTAGTTATGTTTTTATTAACTAGACTGGCTTCTTTTGGATGATCAAGGGCAACGCTGAAATTGTCTGGCTTCATAAGAGCCATATTCTTCTCCTTAAATATTTGGGTTTCTGGTAAGATAGAGATAACCCATCTTTTGTCACATATTAATGGCAGAAGGAGCTAATTCCTTATTACAACACCAATACTTGAGAAATTCTGGATTGTATCATATGTAAAAATGAAGTGTGTGGGCACCATATTTATAGAAGAATCTTGCTACAAAATACAAATAGTCGAGACTTGCTTATATTCTGAGGGTTCAAACAGAAATCAATGCTGAAACTAATCCGCTTCAGCTCTACAAATCACACTGCCTATTAAGGCATCACATAATTCAATATGCAGCGCTGATACAATTAAACATGTCTTTTAAAAACAAAATTGGTTCTGTATATAGAAATATTCGACGCTGATGTATGCTTTGTATACCATATATATGTTGTGAATATTAATTAAGCATTCAAAATCATGTGCATGAATTTTGCGTATGCTTGCTTCAACTTTTGCAGTATTGTTATTTTCAAATTGCCGATGAAATGATCTATGAATGGTTTCATTGATTTATTTTTAGCTAATTCTCATTTATTGCTAGTAGAGGGTTGTTTTTGCACCTTCAAACCAACATTGGTCTGTGCTATGGCATATCCTTGTTATTTTTGTAGGAATGTAAGAAAAGTACAATTAAGGAACAACACTGGCATGTACAAATTTATCAGACAAGTACAAGTCCCCTCACATCAAGCAAAGCTAGTGGTCTCGGATCTTTGTTCCAGGTCAGTCCTGTCTGCTGTGTCCACACCAATAAAAGGAGAAAGAGAAACAAAGGCTGGAGGGTTTGAGATGGGATTATGGTGAATTACTGTGTGGCAATATAGGGCAGGGACCGGGGTGGTGGTGGTCGGGTGGCATCTATCAATTTATTCTTTATCAGTGTGTAAGCTTACACTCTTCCCTTTTCAGTGACCACTCGTATCACCCATACCTGGTTTTGTTGTCTTCTTCAACTGTTGGCAGATCAAAAAACATGTGCACTGTTACTGCCTCCAACTTTTATTCGATTATTTCCCTGGACTACAACCATATTTTCCATAGCGGGCATAGCGGGCTACACGCCACACTATTGTCACTCACTCCTCGAGCCATTGCTACCGGCCCTCCATTGATGTCGAAAGTTACTTCGTCTCCATCCCAATAAGTAAGTGCTGCAATTGTTTTATTCAATGATTTCCCATCACAATTCCTACTGGTGTACATTTTCCTGCTAGATGAATAGATGATAGCTTTTAAATGTTTTTTATTGTTTTTATTATAACACCGGTGAGTTTTTGGTTGATTTCCTATGGTCAATTATAACTTGTAGACTATATCTTTGCCTTTTCTATTCTAGTTATCAGAGATATATGTTGCATTTATTCTTTTTCTTGGATGTGAACTCTGCACACCTTTTACTCATAATTTTCACTTTATGACCAACATTATGGTTCACAACTTCACTAGATTTTTGAAGCATTTATCAAGATTCAAGAGGAATTTTATGATGCCCTGTTATGTTCTGCACAATTTTATTTGTGCACCTCCTCGAACCAAAATTATTTTTACGATGCCCACATATGGATAATGGATTGGGTGTTGTGTCTTGTTTCTAGTTTTTGTCTTTCACTTGTTGCTTATAAGAATATCTAATCTAAATGCAACTCCGACAAACTAAATTTATATGGAAACACGGTTTATTCATGAATGTAAAGTCCCATTATGCTTCTACGTTACCAACTTCCTCTGTGGATAACCCAACTATTGCCCATTCTGGTTCGGTTCCTGGTCACATATCCTTCCATCACAATTCTGGTCATACCCAGTGTTGCTCCCAAATCGGTACAAGCACCCTATTAAATTGGTTTGGGTGTTTTAACCTTTACCCACCTGGTTAAGAAACCACCCCTAATTTGGATAGATCGCATATATCTTCTCCCCAAACATAGGCCTCGAACCCGTACGGTTCTTGGGATATGGGTGGTTTGTTTTATTCCTATGGATCGCAAGCCCTAGGATAGGAGTGGACTCGGGCCGAGCCAATTGGCTCAGCCCGGTGAACCGGTTGGTGTCCGATTTGGGCCACCCGGCCCGGTGAGGTAGGCGGTTCGGGCCCGAGCCCGGGCCTGTTAAATAGTAAACCGGCCCGGCCGGTTCGGGCCTGGTCCGAGCCAATTTTTTCTTTCTTTTTTTTTTGATTTTTTTTAAGTTTTTGGGTTGGGCTGGGTATGATGGGCCATTTGAGGTGGTTTGGGGCCTTGGGGGTGAGGGGGGAGGGTTGAGGGTTAATTAGGAAAAGCCAAAAAAAAAATTACATGAACCGAAGCCCGGCCCGGACCGGACCCGGGGGTTACCCGGGCCGGTTCCGGGCCTCCCCTTTCATGATCCGAGGCCCGGCCGGGCCCGAACCAGAACCGGTCCACCCCTACCCTAGGAATAGAATAAGCCACTCATTCGATCCCAAATAGTATTCTGTTGCTAAGAGTAAGCATTATAGTAATTAATTAAAACATGGATTAATATTTATCTTCACCCTCCCTATATTCTTTATTTTACAAGAATATAAGAATAGTAAATAGCACTAAACATAATAGAGGTTCTCTCTCTAGGATGGAATTCTGTTGCTAGGGTTTGTTTCTCCGCATTCATCTCTGATGAAGTGCGGTCATCATTAAGGCGGAGTTCCGATTTCGTTTCTAATTTAGAACAGGCGGTGGTTGGATAGAGGAACGGGTATAGTTTGAGGCAGGTTTCGAAGCTTTCCGGATTGAAGCTTCGGTCGTTTTCTATTGAAGACGGAACACATGGCAGTTACAAAGGCAACTTGATAGAGATTTCGTTTGTACCTCGGACATGGATTCATGGAAAACCTGAAGAAGCAAATTGGCGAGAGCAGAGCGCAAGTAGGATAAGGTTTCAGTCTATTAGATGAATTTTTCAGGTCGAAATTCTTTTCTCCCATACTACAACAGCTCGTCTGCCTCCGGAGCCACCTCCGGGCGAAGAAGCAATTTGGGAAAAGTTTCTATTTTCGTATTATTTTTCCCTTAGCAGTACTTTTTTATTTCAATTTGAGTAGGTATGGTTGAGTATTTTGATTTTTGATGAACTTTTGATAGACAATGCTTCATTTTCGATCATTTTAGGCTTAATCTTGCCCGTTTTATGTTTAGAGAGTCAAGTTGCGTTGTATGGGTGCCCGTTTTGTGTCTGACTGGCTAGATAAGGTTGCTTTGTATGAGTGACTTATTTTATTCCTAGGGCTTGCGATCGGATCTGTAATAACTGTCTGGATTTTGTCTTGGATGTTTGCTCTATTATAATGAAAGTCGTTTTGACGATAAAAAAAGGTAGATTCTATGGTACTCATAAGGTACCGTACCTTTGTCCACATGGACCAATGAGAATGTAACAGTTGAATTATTTAAATCTAAATTAAAAATGATAAAGTGATGTGGTCCAATCAAATGAATGATAAGTATGGTACCCCATTTTTTAGAAAGGTACTGGAGTTGTCACCTAAAAAAAATATAAGAATAGTTTTTTCCTAAAATATCACTGAAAATACTACTATGGTTTCAACACTCAAGAGGTCACATTTTTATCCACCATCTTTATTTTAATTAAAGATGTCATTATTTCCATACGAATAGCTAACATAAGTTAGATAAAGTTTATTATAAAATAAATTGTGGGAGTGAGATAATGTTTAATACGGAGTACTTGGTTTGACACCACACAAGATGTAAACAGGTGAACTTCCACCATTTGTTAAATGTTGTCCACCATTTGTTTCCAAAAAGCTCCTGTATAAGGAAAGCATATAACATTAATATTTCACTCCTCCGTTTAACTCCAAACTACTGTTGTAACCTAGGCCCTAGCCCACATTCAGGGGTTTAATGTCTCTGCTGCGCGTGTATGCCAAGAACTGCCCTGGAAGCTCTTCTAATAAGGCCTGCACCACTGAAATCTGCCCAGCTGCGCATGACATACCGTGTTAAGTTGTATAAACACATTGCCTTGAAAAAGGAAACAGATAAAGAACCAACTGAACTGAAATGATGCTTGTTTTCTGACCCAGAAAAGAACCGGTCCATTTTTTATTAAATAGACTGTAAACTGGAGTTGGAACCGGATTACCCAGTTAAAGTTGCGGTTCCATCTTTATCTGGAACTAGTAGGGGGGTGCATTATTGGCCAGATGAAAGGCCAACAAATCTACAGCCCATCTTTGAATGGGACTACAAGTGAATATTTTGATGCTGCAGAGAGAGGTTTCATCTAGATGCACTTACCAAGCACTTCGCGCATGGGAATGAACTGCACAATGTCTCTTGTAGCTACCCTTCCCGTGGAGCTCTCGAGCCGTTTTCCATTATCAGCATCAAGAATCTATCAGTTCATATGAAAACACAAATACCATAACTTTTTTTTTTCTAAGTAGAAAAATATCTGCATTTGAGAGTTCCCAGAAATACAAAGACTACTTGTACCTCCATTTGTGTAAAATCTGCATTGCCAACTCCGATGACAAGAATTGAAACTGGTAGGTCAGATGCCCTTACAATAGCATCTATAGTTTCTTGAAGATCAGTTAGTACTCCATCCTATTAGATGAAAAAACGTAACACAGGTATATTGGTATTAGATTTACGAAAGCAGAAAAAACATGACGGTTTTGCTGGTAGTGGATGGTTTGAAAGCTGACTGATTCCCCCCCACTGCATACCGTGATAATTAGCAAGGCGAAATATTTGTTTTGGGTGTTTTTGAGGGACTGAGCTGCAATATTTGCGGCACTGTTAATAACATGGCTAAACAAGGTGGGTCCAGAAAGAGTTACATTGTGCATAGCACTTGAGTAAGCGTTCATTATCCCTTCTACACCTTGAACCTGTGGAAAGAATCGTGCAAAAGCTCAATGCATTAAACAGTTTATGCAAAAGTTCTTACTAAAATGACCCTAAAACGTAGACTTCAAAATGCACAAATCAGGTTGTGCTGCCTCACATAAAACTATTAGCATTCAGATTAAAATCTAGGTAATTTAGCTCAACTGTGATGGAACTGGTATCATGACATTTATGAATGATGATTCATAGTATGATTAATTGTTTAATGGGTTTTTTTATTTGCATAACAACCAATTTGGTTTTTGTCTTTAAGGAGAAAACTAAAATAAATGTATTCATAAGCTCAAAGACAAGCATAGCAAGAAGTTGAATGACTGAAATGCATTAAACATTTGCATGAAGATAAAGGGAATGGAAATCGGGAAATTTGTTTTCTCTAGTCTCATAGAATAGGCACATTTACCTCGGGTGCACTTGGATTTCCATTTAAACTGAAACAGTGAGACACTGATCCAGCATTCGTCATTCCACCAAACCCCCAAGCAGGAAAACATCTATCAGAGTCATAAAATTGTATAACCTCTCCCACCTCCATTATGGCCTGAAGTAATTGCGGCAGGTAATAAATTTATGTCCACCAATAAAAAGTTCCCATTACATGGAAATGATAACAGTTTATTATGAAGAAGATGAAATCCCGCTTAGGGTGTCTGAGGGTTTCCATTTGAAGCTGGGGATGTAAAGTTGGATCAAAGAACTCTTATAGAACACCACATAACACAAAAACATCAAAAGATTTTATGTATGTATGTGTGTATGTACATATGTATGTATTTATGCGTGTACACGTGTATATACTTTTGAAGGTATGTGTATGTATGCATGTGTGTATGTGTGCATTTACAATATTGACACACATGAAAGGCAATACCAGTAAAATCAACAGCAACCATAAAGTTAAGCTCAAATCCACTAGAAATGTAATCAAGAAAGCTGTAGAGTTGCTTCTCAGTAAAATTTTCCACAAACAGTTGACCCTTCAAAAGCTGAACATTTAACAGTGGTGAGTCAGATACTACATTCAAGGCAAAGACTCTGCAAGTAATAGAAAAAAGGCAGATGTAATTAAAACCTTTTCTTGTTTCCTGAAACCAGAAGGCGGTGAGATAAGATTAGCTCCAGCTTTACTGTTGTGAAGATCTTGAAGCTCTGCAACTGTCTTGTGCAATTTTCTGCATGGTGTGAGAAGTATACCATGAATACTGAAAACCAAAGGGATCAGGAAAAGTTTTTGGACCAAGAATGAAGCCTGCTGATGTTCGAGACAGTACATACCCAATGAGGATGTGATTGCCACTTCTGTTGAAGTCAAAGCACTCAATGGTTAGAAGGTTATCCTACAACAAATATAAACCTTATGAACTACAACTTGAAGTGGATAAAGGGAGTACGAATTAGCAGAATGTACATAATTAAAGGTGACGCGAAATGGACGAAGGCCCAAAAGGAGACACTTGTCGAATCGTTCCTACAAGGGAACGACAGGCCTGCCAGGCCCAAGCCTGAAGGCCCAGTCCAGTTTTCTCCTATAAATACCCCCTTTGGGGAACCATGTAAAGGGTTCACAATTCATTATATGGATCTACTTCTCTCTCTAGTTCTCCCTTCTCTCTAAGACTTTAGTCTATCAAGTAGCAACGTAGCATTCATTTTGTTATCTCAAAATGGCTGTAAATTTTACCTAATAGTAATCAGACAGGGTTGACTATATGACATGTCTCGTGGGTAACTGTAGAACATAAGCTCGCACAAAACTTTGAACTAGATCTCAAGATGAGAAAGTAAGCCTTTACAAGTAGAACAACTACATATTCATACACATATAATTCTAGAATATGAAAAGAAACAAATGTGGTTTGTTTGTTTGTTGGGAACTATGGTTTGAGGTAGCCGTTCTGGGTCAGTTTGGCCCATTTATCAGTTTGGACTGAATGCCTGAATGGACATATTAAAGTGTCATAGATCGGATGTTTTCCGGATCTGTGTCTATTGTATAAGAATATGAGGTAAACCTCACCTAATGAGGGTCCTTTTATGGTGAGATAGATGCAATTTAATACTAAGAGAAGGCGACATGTACCTTGTTCACAAATTGTTGCAGAGATAAACTCACTGGCTTCCATATGGGATTTAAGTTGTTGTTGAGAACTTCTGTCTTGCATATAGGAATAGAACTTCCAGCTTCAACAGTCCTAGATATTCTCAAGAAAGGATCCTAAAATATTAAAACAGAAACAATAATAAAGCGAGAAAAGAAAGGGCACCAAACCCAATGTTCCTGCTTCACATTGGGAGTCTAGTAAATAGTAAGCCATGCTCATCAAATTAAGGCTACAAATAATAGAAAACTGAATTCCATCTCATGCATACACTTTTGGAGAATATGTCCTTTTTTAGATTTGTACACCTTAGTGTTAACTCCACTGCACTCCTCGAAACAACAGTTTCTTCTGCATGGATTGTAAGTGTGCCCAAGTTATTTGAGCCACGCCCACGTCTATGATGAAGATTCAATGTTAACTGCTGATTCGGTTTGGTCACAATCTGAGATAGTCAATGGGAGAATAAGCAAAAATGAGTATCTTCGTACCATGCCAAAAGAGGAAAGTCAACAATCCCACATGCTACTACTATTTTATTCCTCGTTTCAGCAACCTGAAGGGTCAATCAGCTTAATAAAAACTGCATGCATGCTAAGCAATAGTATAATGCCTTAGAGAGTAGTTCCCCTTTGCTACTCAAGCAACTCACCTCAGAGAGAACACAAGTGGCTTCACCAAGGAAATCTTGATCCTTCAACTTCAGTGCCTGCAAGGCAACACCAAAGCCATAACAGCATGATAGCAAAATTGCATTGTGTATTCAAATTTATTTGTGTGTATGGTATGTTTTGGGTTTTCAAAATCACTGCAAAACTTAAAAACTTGTTTGATGCAACAATTCTATACACAGAAACTAGCAAATGGCAAAATGGAGTTAAAGGTATGAAATGTTGCATATGGTGCTCATGCTTTAAACTCCATTTATGTACACATATCTGTGATCTTTTAAAAAAATTGGGGTTTCTTATTATCTTATAAACACTCTTAACCAAAGATAAAATGAAATTGAATGCCTATAGTAATCTTCTATACTCCATTTTATGTAAAATATTACTATGCATTACTATTACAAAAGAGTCTGCGAACTGAAATTGATGTATCTATTCTTACTCTGATTTAAAAGCCTAATTACCATTTTGAAGCCAAATCCAAATGTACACTCATTCTAAAACTGCATTAACTATTATACTTATTTGGAATAGTTCTTAAATAAAACAGTGATGCGATTTTACAAAGACCATTACATACCTTCACAGGTAAATGGTTGTACTTTGAGTCCACATCATATATATGAAATCTGAAAATAAAATGAATACATGAACTATAAACGAATGCTTTTATAAAGAAAATGACATACATAAAAAAAAAACCTACATCAGTGGTTGAACAATCTCGAACTGGTCATTTCATTTTCATTTTCATTTACCCCAGTGCCGCAAAGGCTCCCACCTACGGTGGGGTAAGGGGGGTCGGATGTACGCAGTCTTACCCCTGTACTAAAGCACAGAGAGACTGTTTCCGGATGACCCATAGTGAAAATCCCATCCAAAATTGCATGGACTGACTGCCGCTTCATGACAAAGAAGCGCAAACAATCTCGAACTGGTAAATGATACTAATTTTTTGAATCCAGGCAGGGTTCAAATTGTTCATTATCACTTCGGTACGTCCGACTTCTACAAGGGTCCCGTCCCTTTTCTTCAAAAACACTACTGCCATGGGATCACTCTGCAATAATAGAACCAAAGGCTATGAGCATTTCCAAGAGAACTTCAGCTAAGATGTGCCCAGCAATTATGGCATAAAGTACAACTGAGTATATGAACAAAAGAGCAACGCATACCTTTGACATGATGTCACGGTCAAGAAGCTTTGAGGCTGATAGAGATAGCTGAGAAGAAGAAATTCAACACAGATTCAACTATTGAAATTACCAAGACCTAACTCAAAGCACTTTGAGTCTTGACTCTTGACTAACAAAATGGCAAATGCATATTTCGAGTTTTCAACAAAAGAATTATACACACAAAAGAACTAGAGGTGCAATTGGACATTAACAACTTTGTATTGAGTGTGCAATATGAAAACTAAAAATTGTGTATTAAAGTTTGTACACACACACAAACAGGCAAGAAAAAATCCTTGGTGTTTGAATATTTCTAAATAGGGAGATTCTCAATAGCTATGATGCGATGTCATTTCACGGATGAATAAGTTTTTATTGAACAAAAGTTCATACATATTAATTTGACGTTTTATTTTTCAATCTATTTATCCACTTAAATATTTTTCACACACGAATCATTCAATGTAGTGATTGAAATAGATTTTTCAGTGTGATTGAAGTAGATTTACTCGTATGTATGTCTTAATTCATCATCATTACCCTCAAAGGCTCCCACCGTAGGTAAGGGAGGGTCGGATCTACACAGTCTTACGCATGTATTAAAGCACAAAAAGACTGTTTCCGGATCACTCCGAGTGAAAATTGCGTTCAAAATTGCATGGACTGAGTGATGCTTCATAACAAAGAACTTCAAACAGTTTAGTGAGTCATTTTACTTTGTTCCATCATATTCTAAAGCCAAAAAATAATGAGTCTTTGGCTCCATTTCAAATGATTGGAAATGTATGTATGTCTTAATGATTAAAACTAAATCAAATACGTAGTATTACTAAAAACTAAAGCAGCTTTCACTTCTTCAACATAAAAAAATGTTAAATGTTGGTCGGGAAAAATAATAAAAATACCCCAAACTTTAAAGAAGTGTGAGGTATCCCGTCCAAACTTGCATATGTTATTTAAACCCTCCAAACTTTACGTAAAAAGTTATTTTCACACCATTTCATGTATTATTTTTTCAAAAATGTAAATATATGGTATTAATTGCATAATTTAAAATATTTTAGAATTCATGAAGACACAACAATTAACATTTTATATTTTCATTGCAAAATAAATAATGTTACCCCCAATCTATATAATTGCAACTTTTTTAATTTGCTATTTTAAATTATGTATTCAACCCTATAAATTTTAATTTTTGAAAGAAATACTCCGTAATACATTACAATGGTGCGAAAATAACATTTTATATAAATTTTAGAGTATTAAAATTACATATTTAAGTTTGGAGTGTTTAACTCACGTCTTTCAAAGTTTGAGCTATTTTTATTACTTTTCCCTTGTAATAAAACATGAAAATTTGAGTGAATATTCATTCGCATTTTCGCAACACGATGCATCAGTTTCAGAGTTTATTTATACAATTAAACCTCAATTTGGGAGCCGAGAGGGCGCATTCCCTTGGACCGGAAGAAGAAATCCACTGCGTCGTTTTTGCCCTCACCGCCGCCGCCAACTGCCTGAGCCCGGTGGTAGACCCCATCACCGCCGCCTCCTCCTACCGCCTGCTTACCACCTTTCACATCAGACACACAGTTTCCCATTCCGTTGCCCTTCTCTGAGTCCAATTTGTTCTGTTTTTCAATGGATATATTGTATACACACACACTTATATGTATTCATTGCAGTTGCTCCGTATGATAATGGAGTAATTGTGAATCGCTAACTTCCCACGCGGTAGTTATTACTTTTTTAGCTAAGTTTTACAATTCGGGAAAAGTTTTATAGATTTCGGAAAGCATCAAGAAAAGGAAAGCTTTCCGGCACGGTGCAAATGGTGTGGAATTTAATTTCGACCATAACGCCCTGTTTAACAAACCCGGCTTACCCAGCCAAAGTAAACCATGAACAACAGTAGCATAATACCTACACATGCATGTACTATCTCCGTCCCGCTGTGATTGTCTCATTTTACCTTATTGGTCCGTCCCACTAAGATTGTCTCATACCAAATTTGGTAAAGTTTGTGTGTTTCTAAATCATTCTTACTTTATTCTTACTTTATCAATTCAATATCAACCACATAAACTATTTTTTATTAATTTGCGTGACACTCCCTCTTGTCTCATTGTTAGCGGGACGGAGGGAGTATGAATTATGATCAATATAATTGTCCAATTGTTTTTGCCAATTAAAGACTTAAATTTTGATTTAGTTCGTTGAATTATTTAATAAGCAAAGTATGGAAGATTTGAATTACGTTTTTTTATTGATTTGACTAAAGTTACTATAGAGGATGATTTTAGTTATTTTACGTATAATTTTTTCTTAATCTTATAAATAAAATATATTTTGAATATAATTTTTCTATAATTAGTCGATTCAGCCAATCCAGTCGCGTCAACTCAAAATTTATTCAATTTAGCAAATTAGCAAATTTAGTCAATTCTAGTGTTACCAAACGGGCTTTGAACCGTACCTCTTATGCACTTGATTGGTCCAGTTAATTATTTCAAAATTTATTTATATTATTTAAATTACTCAATTGTATTATTCTAAAAAAAATTCTAAAATATTACTAATAAAAAGTTATGGACAAAATGTGATTTAGTAATTTTTAATAACTATAATTGTTTTTAAAGTTTACATTGTAGTGACTAAATGATGCACATGACATAATACGGCACCTTGGGAGTTGGGACCTTACTGATGGAGTATATGGTCCGGGAACCCCCGGTCCACAGACTCCTACTACTCCAATAAAGGTCCAACAGGCCCAGAAAGCATAACATGCCCAAATCACAGCGCCCAGAGTACCAAGCGGCCCACAGTGCGCACCAGGGGTGCCTTCGGCCCCCTGGCCGAAGGCTCTGATCCTCACAGGAGGGTCAAATCAGGAAAACAAAGTTACTGGGAAAAACGGCGAAAATCAGTAGCCCTCGGCACCTAGAGCCCTCGGCACTAAGGAGGTCCCCAGTACTCAGAGCCCTCGGCTAATCATCTACAGCCGAGGGCACCTTTTCCGACATAATATCCGCTCCACATGCGTATGGATCACCGTACCCAGTACGACGTCACATCCAACAGCCGCATTAAATGCGGCCACATGCGATTGTCAGCGCCAACCAGTTGAGGTGACCCCTCGGCCAATGGATGCTTGACATGTGTCCCTGTCTGGCATTTATTGCTACTATAAATAACACCTCATTTCCCCATTTGTAACCAAGAAGAAAATACGCTGAAAACACTGAATACACTTTCTAATATACTCTCTCTCTCTCTACTTACTTGCTCTGACTTCTCTCTAGTTATTCCCCGTAATAACCCCTCGGATAAGCTACCCCCCGGGTGCACTATCCATCATTTGGTGCTCTCGTTGAGAGGTCGAACAATCAAGTAAGAAACCCTCCCCCTCGACCAAACACAAAACACCTAGCTAAAATGGTGAGAACAACTCGTGCCAACTCCAAGAATGTAGAGGACAGGAACCTGGCCCTCGGCGAGATCGACGTCCCCGAAGCCTCTAACAGGGCTCCCGGGGGCGGCGTCATCGCCGGGTTGGACCAGACGGCTGTCGACCTACGCCAGCAGATTCAACTTAGCATCGATGCCCGCCTCGGCATCGAGGCCAAGAAGAAGGACCGGAGCGAGAATCAAATTAGCCCTTCGGTCATCACAATCGACGTACAATCGGCGCTCTCCGCCTTCATCCAGACGCTCACCCAGAACCCGGGTGCCTTCGGCACTTTGGTTCCCCTCCAACCTCAGGTCGGGGAGAATATTATGCCTCCCCCTCATCCACATCCCCTCGGGAACCTGGTCCTCCAGATTGGGAACTCCGAGGGGGTCGTGGCCCAAGATACGGCCTCCCAGGAAGTCCAGTCCCGGGACCGCCACAACGTGAACAAAGAACAACTTCGGACCTCCGCCCTCGAGAGACTCGGAGGGGCGCAAGACCGCCGAGGGGTCCAAGACCGCCTCGGGGGGAAGGCGTTCCAGAGGCCTCAGGAAAGTGGCGGATCCGTCTCCAGGGCCAATGAAAGGCGTCCCCCTCAGGACAAAGGCAATGCACCTCTCCATGCCAACGACGCCCGCCACCAAATCAACCAGGCCCACTCGGCCCGGGTCCATTCGCAGGGGGCGGAGGCCCTCCCGAAGGACCCCCGGGACGAAATCATTGCGGCCCTCCAGCGCCGGCTTGACGAGATGGAGGCCACCAAAGCACACGCCACCACTTCTGCCCCTCATGCAGACCTCAAGTATGAGGCGATGTTGGCCAAGATGGAGGAAATGCAGAAGAAGATAGCCGAGGGCTCCGGAGAACCCACCATACAGCTCCGGACCCGGACGCCATTTATCCCAAGGGTATTGGCGGCCCGGATCCCGGAAAAATACCGAGGGCAGCTCATCAAGCCCTACGACGGAAAGACTGACCCCCAAGAGCACTACATCAGGTATCAAAACAACATGATGATGGTGGGGGCATCGAATGAATATTTGTGCCGCTGGTTCCTCTCCACCTTAGAGGGGCCGGCTTACGAATGGCTCAATCGATTGCCCGAGGGCTGCATTGACTCATGGCAGGAACTCGCCCAGCGATTCTTGACGCAATTTGCGGGAAGGCGCCGCACAAGAAAACACTTCTCCCAAGGAGGAGACCCTTCGGGATTTCCTGGAGTGCTGGAGAACAGAGGCTGATGAAGTTGATGGCGCTGACGATGGGACCCTCCTGGCCCTCCTCCAAACAGTATTCCGCCCTGGGAACTTCTCAAGGAGCCTCATCATCGAGCCTCCCCGCGATTATATAAGGGTCCTACAACGGGGGGACCGATACGCCGAAGCCGAGGAGGTGGAGAAATGCCACCACGTCCCGGATTAGCAGCGCCCTCGGCCAGACGAAAAAGGTATCTGGGGGCCGGGGGCTTCCCGCAATCATCCCAAGGATTCTGCCCCCTCCGGTGATCGCCCTCGGCATGGCCAAGCCAAGCCCGGGGGAGGCTACAAGGGGAACCCGAGGGCTTGGGAACAGCCTGTCCTCCTGGAGCACCCTCGGACACCTTTGACGCACCCCGTCAGCGTCATTCTTGATTTTGTTGAGGAGAGGGGCCTAGTGGAGCGAGATTCACGCGCACCCCCGGAAGTATTTGCCATCAATCCAAACTACCCCTACTGTCGTTTCCACCGACATCAGGGGCACATGACCGATGACTGCCATCAGCTGAAGACGGCCATCGAAAGATTGATACAAGCGGGCCATCTGTCCCAGTTTATCCAGGGCCCTCAGCAATAGGGCCCCCTCACCAAGGGCTAACCCGAGGGCAGACTGCGAGAGCAAATGCATGGGTCAACCCCAACACCATCCCCCTCGGCAAAAAGAGGGAGATTGGGAATCTGGAAGAAGAGGAGGAGGAGTACCCCCGGTACCAAGAGAAGAAGCGCCACATCCTCATGATCACGGGGGGCAATACCGGGGGGGTGGGGGGGGTGGGGGATTCTACGAGTCAACGAAAGAAGTGGGCTCAATCACTTTACGTGGGGGAAGTCACTCATATGCCCCTAGTAAAGCGGCTGAGGGAGGAACCCATTATCTTCACCAACGCTGATCTCCCCCCAGTATCCTCCCCACACAGGGATGCCCTCGTCATCCGGACAGAAATAAATGACACTATTATTCATAGAACTTACATCGACACGGGCAGCTCCGTCAATATAATGTACCTCAGCATCTTCAGAGAGCTGCATCTGGAGAGGGGGTCCCTTCGGCCCATCAAGACCCCTCTTGTCGGCTTCACCGGCGACACCATTGATTCCGAGGGGGTTATAACCCTCCCGGTACTCTTCGGCGACGGGCTCCATAGAGCCAAGTGATCGGCTGAAACTTGCAAGTGTACAAGTGCCAATGTAGTAATAAATTCCGGTAAAAATACCGGGTCGAACACAAGGAAACGTTGTTTATATGATTCAAAAATGAAAGCGGTTTAGTAAAAGAATTAAGAAAAGAGTAAATCTTTTTCATTTTTTTAAGAGATAATAAAAGCAACCAAGGGTTCGGGATTACTCCTAAACGACTCCTAGTGATGAATATATGTTCTTTCGCCAATTCTTATGAGTGGAATGACACTAAAGTATTCTAACTCCTGTTACGGCAGCGAGATTGTGATTAATTCTACGTGTGAATCCCGTCACAGTTCACATTCATCTAAAATTAACCCCATTGAAGATTAGGACATTATAAAAACCACCATACTCAATTGAGGTATATTTCTATCCACAATTAGAATATGTCTAACCTTTAAGTGCACAGTTTATAACTCAACGTTAATTGCTCAAATAAACCCAACGATATAATCATACGTTGTACACCGTAGTCATACACATTAAAATATAAAGGAAAGATCATAATAATTTGGTTGAGAACATACATCAAACACCTAGAGTGCGTAAAGTTTCATCCCTAACCTTGACTATAGAAAATTAGCTAGAACAATTCATAATGAAATTACAAGTATTGAAATGATAAAATACAATGAAATACATAAGAAAATGATACCACAACTCCAAAGCTATGGTGGATAAAGCTTTCCCCAAGTGTAGAATTTCTCCCAAGACCAAGGGGTTGCTCTTGGGATGCCAAAGTAGAAGTAAAGTGTGTAGAATATGGAATAATCTCTTGAGAGGGCTTCAATCCTCTTAAATATTGAGTTCTCAACGGCCATTTTTGGACAAGGAAGCAAGCTCCTTAATGGGATTTGGTGTTTTGCCCGAATGATTGTGATGACCGTTGCTTGTTTTAATCAGCTCCAGGCGAAAGGCGAGCGACTTTCGCAAAAGCCGGGCGGCTTTTGCGAGTTTAAAACAGGCTTCTCCGCTCCAGGGACCGAAAGCCGGGCGGC